TGAAGGGAATAAGGATGCTGCACGAGCCCTAATGCGTGTTAAACAAAAGTTAGATGGTTATGAAGAAGGTGAAATGAGAAGTGTTCATGGACAGGTAATTTACTATAACCAAAACACAATGCACCAACTTTATAATGAAGGATATTCCACTAGCAGATTATTTTGGCTCTTTGGTTATCAAGTTTGGGCTTTGGTCTGCTTTGTCCTAATCTCCTGTGGATAAGGATGGCAGTGGACCAGAGAAAAATATGTATTCGTCCAAACCTATCCCGTTTGAACTGGGATGCACTATACGTATTGGATAGTAGACGTATACGGGGACACCCGTATAAACTTGTACGGGGATGGACTGACACTTAGTCCCGCCCCGTTCCCGCTTTGCCCCCTCTAATCGGTGATATATATATATATATATATATATCCATTCCCACCCACACACCCATAAAGTTAATTTCAAAATTCAGTGGCTCACTTTTTTTTCTTTGTCCAATAAGGTAAGATCTATTATCTTTGTGTTCTTTTTGATGACTTTTGTTTAGATTTATGATGGATTTTGTTGGATTTAAGGGTCTGTGTTGTATTAGCTATTGAGAGTTTTTGTTTCGGATTTATGGTGCGTTAGATACGAGGTTTTTAGATGTTGCTTGTTCTGATTTTTTTTTTTTTTTTAGATCTGCAATTTTCATGTGCTACCTCTGATTTTCTATGTTAGATATGCAACAATCTGAATTTTCTAATTTTATGCTACTTGAATATGGTCTTTGTTGAATTCTGATTATAGTGTTAGATATAGTTTTTTTTTATTTTTATTTTTGAGTTTATTNGTGTTAGATTTACAATTTTCATGTGCTACCTCTGATTTTCTATGTTAGATATGCAACAATCTGAATTTTCTAATTTTATGCTACTTGAATATGGTCTTTGTTGAATTCTGATTATAGTGTTAGATATAGTTTTTTTTTATTTTTATTTTTGAGTTTATTCTACTTGAATATGGTTTTTGCTCTTTGAAAATTGTTGAATAGAGTTCTTGCCTACTCACTATACCAAATGTTAGTCTTTATTAATGAGAATAATTATGTTGTAATTTTCAGTTGGTGACATGCAATTTTTTTGATTTTTTTGATTATTTATAATGTTGGATTATGTTGGGTTTGAGCTTGGGCGGGGGTGAAGGCAGGGACAGGGCAGGGATTACAAATTTACCCGCGGACAGGAATGGAAATGAAAATTATACCTGTTAACGGGGGTGAATCGGGGATGGGCAAAATTTTTTTTAAGCGCGTACGGGAATGAAGACTACACCCCCTACTCCGGCTTCGGCCCACTGTCATCCCTACCTGTGGATGGCCGACTTAGGTAATGTAGGAGAAATTACTCTGGCTAGTGACTACTTACCTTATTTTTTGTCTGAACAGGGAGTTACATGCTGGTAAACACCCGTGGGAAAAGCAACTGAACAATTCCTATTGTAAAAAACAAAGAATATCGTCTATAGTATAGTAAAAAAAAGGTGGTTGGCTTCCAAGTTCTAACTGTGACACCAAATTACTGCTTGATTGAAAACACTTCCAATGCACTTATGCGAATTAAGTTGTGTGACAATTTAATCTTCTCTGGCCAAGAGTTTGGGTTCTATTCTGGATTTATTTCATGTTCTTCAATTTTGCTAAATTGGGTTTGATATGGCGTTTCTGACATCTAGTATATTGGTCCTTTTCNATCTTCTCTGGCCAAGAGTTTGGGTTCTATTCTGGATTTATTTCATGTTCTTCAATTTTGCTAAATTGGGTTTGATATGGCGTTTCTGACATCTAGTATGTTGGTCCTTTTTATAAGGTTTAGTCTCTACTTCGGTTTTTTGTATTTTGTTACGTTATAACAATCATCATGTATCAATTTCACCTGGTCTGAAATATGTTGTTGCAATCTGCGATTAAGATGACAGGTGGTAGTTTGTACAGTAAATTTGCTGATCAGCAGATGTAAAACACTGTTTTGAACATTTACATGATAGGATTTGTCCAATTTCTTGTTTTTTAGGTTCAACAACTCATACAGGACGCCATTGATCCCGACCGTTTGTGTCAAATGTTTCCTGGGTGGGGAGCTTGGTTGTGATTACTCGGAAGCCTCCAGTGGCACCCAATCAATTTTGCTGGCGGCTTTTTCGTATATTGTAATTTTATTTTTCCTTTATAAGTGGTTGAGGCTATGTATTGGGTGTAGGCGGTGTATCTGTTACTCGCTTGTTTGTAGTGGGCTCGTTTTTATAGTGTTTTATGTAAAGTTGTTCATAAAGCCTCGGAGGGCCATATATATATGTTGGAGGCTGTGAAATTTTCCTTGCTTCTGTATCTCTTTCCATTACCACACATGTATAGATGCCATAGGAAGCTTCCCTTGTGTTCGAAACTTTTGTTAAACAATTGTCTATTCTAAAAACCTAAGCTTTTAGAAATTATGTAATTTAAGTATTTATACTTTAAAATGTCCTTTATGTGCATGTTAGATTTTGAGTCTAACACGTGAAAATATTTTTAATAATTAAGGTGGCAGTAATATTTGAACACGTATAGAACCTCGTGTTTTGATACTATGTTAAAGATTTTTTTGTCATTCTGAAAATCACTGCTCGAGAATATGAAATTATGAACAAAAATGAAAACTAGTCAGAATAATATACGGCAGAATGGAGCAGGCAGTTGGTACCACGTAGACTTCTGAATACTCTTGTTCGCGAAGAATGTTTGGGCTTATCTCAGTTAGTATAATTAAACGAATTGAGCTTGAACTTGTGTTTGAACTTAAGTTGTGTATTTTCGTATACAAATTTTACACCCATAATTCAATGTGATATTTCGTAGTATGTAAGTTAGGGACTGCTGATGTAATTAATGCATTAAGAACGAAACAAACCATCTATAAAGTAATTATTATCGGTATCCATAGTTCGTAGTTGAGCATAAGGTCTTACCTAGGATAACGAAGTTTTAGGGGGTTGGATGTAATGGGTTTGGTTTTTCTATAAATACGATTCGTCCCAGTTCTTTACCAAATCAGCCATCCATTGTATAATGTTGGATCCATTCGAGTGTATAGTTTTTACTTGAATCTGGGATGGGGCTGTTGTTTTTTAAATATAAGGGGAATAGAATTTGAAATTTTGAGTGGAGATTTCACCCCCAAGGGTGGGCTCAAGATTGGGCTTTTAGCTGTGATCTTTGAAACCAGTGGGGTCAATGAGGCCAAATTCATAGCAGCCTCAAAATTGTCCATTTCCCAAAACTTCACACGTAGCTAAAGGGTGGTTTGGATGCCTTAATAAAAAAAGATGGATTGTATTAGAACAATTTTGAATAGATGAATAAAATTTAAGATTAAATAGGGGGTAAAGATAATACGAATTTTAGTCAAGCGTTTCTTAAATATAGTATTGCGGGTTGGATAATAAGTATCAAGTCATTGGTTAGGTAATTTATGCAATGTTTTTAAATGAGTGGATTAAAATATCTTCAATCATTTAGGGGGTTTGATCCTTTATAGTGATCCAATATTTTGTAGGATTATATTAATAGAACCAAAAGTTATGTAACTATTGCTTACTATGAATATTTTAAAATAATATTAGAATTAAACAAGCATATTTTAATTGTGTAATAATATATTTTTGATATATTTATTTATTTATTATTAATGATGTTTATCATTATCTATGTGAATGACAAATAAGATGCATCTTTTATAGGTTGTCCATATGAGGGGGATGTTGAATCATTGTAAAGAAATTAAAGATCGATTTGTTATAGCAAAAATCGGCCGATTTAATGGTTAACAGCCGGATCACTTGCTTAGGTTGTCCAACTCAAGAACTGAACCAGTTTAAGCCCCGGTTCACGATCCAACTGACCTATCCGGTTCAGTTATAATAACATTGACTTGAAGAAGAAGACCGTGATTATAGTGGATTTCTTGGCTAAGAGCCTTTTTACATAGTATTTTATAAATAAAATTCTAGAACTCTCCTTTACAATGACTTTGACTTCTATTTATACACCCGACTCTCTAGCGGTTCTACAATTCTTATGTCCAAGTAACCCAACGATCCTTTACATTTTGTACAAGTTATTTTTCCAATTAAAAATGTTGATTAGGGTCTTGATTTGTTTTTTAAATGATTATATTGGAAAAAAATGATAAAGTAATTCAAAATAATAAAAGTTTTACACGTGTTCACTTTTATTGGTCTAAAAATGAAGGTATTGTATCAACAAATACATTTCAAAATTATCGTATTAAAACAATACGAAATTAGATGATTTTTGTTTTATTTAAGTTATCCATTTTATAAATAAGTAGACTTAACACTATACAATTAACGAATCGCATATGAATGAAGCTAATCAAATAAAATATATGATCAGTTCAAAAAATAATAATAAAATATATGATACAGATTCATTCATATACAAATTATACACGCTTCTTATATGACATGCAATCAATATAATACGATTTGTTACATAAGAATTAATAAATAAATTAAATATAAGTGAAATATTTTTTAACACGAATCTACTAATACTCGGAAGACGAATGTGGCTCTTCTGACTAAAAATAATATTATGAAGGGATCCTAAGTGTAATTTTTAAATATTAGAGACACAAACCAAATTCGGATTTGGTCGCCGACTTATCACGCATGCGTGTACGCACGTGAGCAATTGGGCCCTCCCTGTTCTGTAGCAGGAGTAAATATAATCGTCAATTTTGTCACGTAATATTTTTTCTTTGATTTTTTTTTTCTATTACAGAGTTTATAAATTTGTATCGATTATTTGCTTAAATTCTAAGATCGACCACAGTAAGTCAAAAAAATCAGATTCGCTTATTTATTTATTATTAAATAATTAAATTATGTGACAACTGTTATATTCCATATTTAACTCTTCAAAGGTTTGAACCACCGAAGAGACCACGGAAAGGAAAATGTGACCGTTTCCGGGGTAAGAGTGTGCTGTCACCGCCTACCCACCCTACACGTACCCTTTTTAAATATTAAACCGGCGGCGCAAAAGTCAGTTTGCCACCGCCCCTCTGAACACACCCCGGCCTTAAGTTTCAAACTCAGTAAAACGAGGCGGTGTTTTAGAGGCTGAGTCGGTGTTTCCGTTAGTTTTTATATATCAAAATTTCTTCTTCTTCTTCCTCATTCCTCTTCCCCAAGTAATCTTTTTCTTCTCCCATATGTACTTTGATTCCTACGCACCACACATATATATACAGATAAAAATCTATACGTAGTCTCTCTCTACCTATCTTGTTTTCTGGGTTTTTCGTATTGCTTCCAAGCTTCCATACACGGCTTGGCAGGTCTCTCTTTTTCCTTCTATCGTTAATCAATTCTATGCTTTGCTACAATTCTGTCATGATTCTTTTGGTATAGAAATAGATAGTTTTACTTAGAATTGTAGCTCAAAACGATGCACAATGTGCTGTTAATTGGGTTTTCTGGTAATTGATTGATTCGTAGGATAGGTTCTTCAATATATTCTTTTGTGAATATTCTTTGCTTTACATTAGTTTCGTCTTTAGCCTTCCTTTTAAGCAATATTATTGATTGGTCTCTTTGTAACTTAGAATCAGTATTCAATTCCGGTTATAGCTGCTCATAAAATCGTATCTGTGTCAGTATTCTTCCGAATTTGCAATCTCGATCGTGAGTTACCCTTTATATTAGGTGTTCTAGGATTAAGACGCAGAGTCAGAATTTAAGCAGGTTTCTGGGTTTTAGATCACTTTGTCTTTTTGTGATACAGTTTTATTTCTTCAATTCAAATTTTGTCTGCTATAATATGCAGCAACTTCAATTGTTTTCTGATCCAATGGGAAATACTGAGAGGTATGTAAATGGGTTTAGGGGTTTAGTTTTTAACAACATGACAACACACACATTGGATAATCAGTTTAAGCATTCGGGTATCGAAGATCCAGTCGCTGGTACTGATCATGATGATCAGGACCACTCAATTTCCGATTGCGAAAGTGGGATTTCTAATGAAGAATTTCAATATTTTGGTGATGGGTTGATCAGAATGGATGAGGAGGACAGGCTGCACCACGTTACCAAGCAGAGGTTTGTGTCAGGTTTAGGTTCTCTTGGAGGACATACCAAAGTTGAGGCCATTCATAGGAATGATTATTCTAGCTGTACAAGACAAGCCCGGCTTCATTCGTTTCATATTTTCTCAAGAGCAATTGAAAAGAAGAATGGTGGCAATGCTAATGTCAAGTATGCCTGGTATGGTGCTTCTAAGGATGAGATTAGTAAGATCATGTCACATGGATTTGGTCATTGTGGAAACTTTGAGGACAATGGATTCGGTTGTGGTGTCTTTCTCTCTCCTGAGCATTCTCCTATTGAAAGGTAAGCCAGTATTCAACTACTCTTTTGCTTATAAAAGTAATCTTGTGTTCTATGTGAAAAGTAATTTGGAACTCGATTTTAAAGAGAGATTAAAAAGGTAAAATTCGAATTTATTCATGTTGCAGTGTGCAATCCTCAGTTGTTGATGAGAAGGGGTTAAGGCATCTCTTGCTTTGTCGTGTTATCTTGGGGAACATGGAGCTTGTTCATCCCGGTTCTGGACAGTGTCATCCAAGTTGTGAGGAGTTTGATTCTGGGGTAGACAATCTGCTATCTCCTAAAAAATATATTGTTTGGAGTACCCATATGAATACTCATATCTTGCCAGAATATGTGACAAGTTTCAGAGCTCCTTCTTACTTGAAAGGTGGGTAGTTTGGCTTACTTTTTGGATTTAATTGGTTGTCATGCCTATTAGAAGTCAAAATTGTTCAAACTGTAGTGTTAATCTTGTTTGTGTTATCTATTGAGCAGGGTATCAAAGGATCCAAGATTGCCTTAGGAAACCAATCTCACCATGGATGCCGTTTCCAAGTCTTATTTCTGCACTTTCCAAGTTCTTACCACTGCAAACCATTAGATTGATTGCAAAGCATCACAGTGATTTTAAAGTAAGTACTTAAGAAGTGCATGTGGTAGCATGTATGAACTTCTTTTATGCCTTTCTAGTCATTTTCCAACTTTCTAATTTCAATTTTTTGTTCCCCAGGAAAAGAAGATCTCAAGGCCAGAGTTGATACGCCAAGTGAGACAAATAGCAGGAGATAAGTTGTTGACAGTGGTCATAAAATCTTTCAGAGACAAGGTAAGGCTCATAATGCAGTAGATGTTTCTATCAATATAAGGTGTGGTGGATTGATTTTGTTTCTGTTTGGCACTTAAATTATTAAATACTTGAATGCCTTGTATTGTTTACCTTTTATACCCGCCATTTTAACTACTGCTACATGGGTGGCCACTGTTTCGAAGTTTTGACGATGGGTTTAAAGCTTTAATAAACATTAATTACAATAAAAAGGACTTACTAGTACTTGACATCAATAAGACATAGAAGTTGTATAGTAACAACCCCCATTTTATCCCTTTGTGTCAGCCTGCACTGCACCTTTTTGCAGTTCCCTTTGCTCTGATATTTTCATCTCAAGCCTCTCTTGTCTGTCACAATATAGTAGCTATACTGATTCAGTTCAATTGTTACAATTAACAAGAAGTCCTTAGATTATAGGTATCAGTGTCATTGATAAGGTAAGACTATGGAAGGCACTGTTTAATAAAGGCACTCAAAGTTTAGGAATTCGTCGTGTTAGACTCTCTACGGAGGGCTCATGCACTTTCTGCAGCTCACTTCGTTTGAACGTTCTCCAAGCCAAACCCTCTCATTTCACCAACCTATGTCAGTGTCCTTGCTATGCTGATCCATATCGTGATGCAACTTTTACGGAGGCTTGTATATAGATGTCATTGATCTTAGATTCTTAATGAACTGCCATGGTGATAATTTTTACAAAGTCACAGTGATTGTAACTAGAGATTCCACTTTTCAGGTTTTTAAGCTGTCATTACTCTGTTATCAGCTCCCAATAGAATTGAATTTTGTTCCTGTTTAATCATCATTAGAAAATTGTCGAGAATGGCTGTCTCTGTGGTAAGGACTAACCTCCACTTGAAGCCTCAAATATTATTTACCGTAGTATGCTAAATTTGGACTTGGTCTCTTGTGTTGGGTAATGTGTGCTCTCTTCAGAAACTTCCATAAAATGGCGTGACACTAGAAGCGGGATTTAAATAGTAGTTTACCAACAACCCATAGTTATGGTTTTCTAGCATATTGGAAAGAGTACTTTGGTTAGGCAAATATTCATCTTCACGAAGGAAAATGGAATGTCAAAAAAGAACCTGCTTTAGCTTCATTTGTTGCCTAAGCAAGTCTCTGTGATCGTTGGTGAGTTCACATCGTTGAAGCCTTGAAGGGAGAATCGTGTCACAATATAGCACCCAAAAGTTATTGAGTATTGATGGAGTGCAAAAGGTTACGATACATCTGCAGCTTGATGTTGTTGCCTTTATTCAAGGCCATGTCCTATGCACCCTTGTATCTTACTGTTGCCCAAATTGGTGGAGAAGAATAGACCACTCTGCACCAGTTAATCGGTGGAGCATCTTTTGTATTCTTTACGCTTGTAGATTTTCAAAATATTCCATCAAACTCCATATCATTGAAGTATCTATTCTGATAAAATTCTTGTCAGTGCCCCCCTTTAAACCACTTGTGTTTTTTGTGTTCCATTCTACTTTTCATTTTCTTATCGGCAAGAGCTTTTGCATTTTAAATCTGCTTCGGTGAATAAAGTTTACTTTGATTTTACAGCATCTTAAACCATCTCCTGTTTTTTCTTCAAACAAAAGCTCCAACAATTGCCAGCATTGGAATGGAAGAAACCCAGCTCGTAGACAGGGATGAGATGATATTTGCTAGAGGCTTTATTTTGCTGAAGTTGAGAGTTTGGCATGAATAGAAGATAATAAGATGGCTTGGTATTCATTGGGAATTAACACATTTTGATCAGCTAATTTGGGACCAAGTTTGGCAAATAATTTGTTTCAGGAATAGCTGTAGTTGGAGTGTTCTAACTTAGGAGTAAAACTCTAGTTTTTGTGGCTGCAAGTTATATCTTCAAGGTTTATTGTAACACTGATATATTGTTAATATTGTTATTCAATGAATAAGATTTACGTTTTTTCATTGATTGAGGTGTCTCTTTTTCTTTTGTGATAGGATAACAGAAAACAATCATGCAGTTATGTTATAGAACTAATAAAGGGGTGACACGAAATTCATTAGTAGCCACCCACCGCCCATAAAGAAACGAAAAACTTCACTCTATCCTATAATAATTACTTATCCTCCTTTTTATCTTCAAAAATTCTATTGTTCTTTTCTATCCACAACAGCCAAAAGATGGCCAAAGGAACTCATCCCCCACAAAATAAAAGCTTTCTTACCCTTTTCAAAACCATCAAAACACGTAACCAATAGAAATGCACAATCAAGAGGAGTCACCCATACCAAATCCGCCTCCCGGAACAACTTATACCACAAGAAATGAGCTTTGGGCAATGAAGAAAACACATTATGATGTGTAATCGAACTATTCCATTTTTGTGTTCCACTCTCATCATCTATTTCAACCTGATCTGCCCATTTTTGAAAATACCAAGTTTTAATGAGAATCAGTTACACCCTCCCTGTTGGGACCTTGTCTGGGAATAAAAGTTGTAAATTAAGATGCAATGTTTAATTTTCAATATCGTAGGTGGGTTTTGACCTAGCAATTTAATTTTAAATATAGAGGGTGAGTTTTGATATAGCGATATTAAGTGTTTAAGTCACAAAAACAACATCTATGCATATAGGATAAAACTATAGACATTTAGACTATACATTAACGAGAGTCTCGTACACTCGATCTCTCTCAAAATATTTTTCTAAAAAATAAAAGATAATCCATTGAATAAATTCTTTAGCAACAAATAGAGTAAATGAGGAGGAATAGGGGTATACACAATTCAAAAAAACAAAGGTAGATACAAATACTTGGGACCGAAGGAGTATAATTAAAACACCGTATGATAACATTGAGGAGTTGTAACGTGGACCAGTTTGGTGGGGATATGGGTTACCATTTTCGTAGTGGATTTGATGATTTTGTGGGCATTCGTATTTTCTTATGGATGGAAGTACAAAAGATCAAATTGAGGTATGTTTCCTTTTGCTTGGGCCACAAGATAAAATTCAAATATAGCAGTAACGTGGATGGCAAGTTGCCAACTGTCACATAACATGGTTTTTATTTTTGTGACTTGCAACGGTATCGTATAGAAAATATAACTCTCAAAAGTGAGTAATTTTTATGCAAAATATTATATAAATACCTAAAAAAATAATAAATGTTACAATACAAAAAAAAAAAAATTCCTTATTTCAGCTTTTGCACGAAGGGAACTCTCTCTCTCTCTCTCTCTCTCTCTCTCTCTCTCTATATATATATATATATATATATATATATATATATATATATATGGTGGGGATTGTGCTTCATTGTCTTCGTGAGGGATAGAGGTGCTTTAACAAGTAATTGGGTAATTATCATTCACGCCCACTTTTAATAGGAATATTCTCAATATGATTTCTTCTATTATTTAAAATATCACTAACACCCTCTTGTAATTTATATTTAAATATCATTGACACCCCCAAGCTTTTAAACCATTATTTCTAACAAAAAAAATTATCTAAAATACCAAAATTGGTCTTACATTATCCCCAAAAGTCTTTATACATTAAATTCGATTAAAATTTATTTTTTACATATTAAAATTTGAACTGATTAAAATTAAATTTAAGCTGATAAAGATTTATTTTTTTACATATTAAAATTCGAGCCTATTAAAATTCTTTTTTTTACATATTAAAATTCAAATTGAAATTCAATTCGAGTTGATTAAAATTTATGTTTTTTACGTATTGAAATTTATACCTATTAAAATTCGATTAGAGCTGATTAAAATTTATTTTTTATGTATTAAAATTTATATTTTTTTACTTACTAAAATTCGGGCCGGTTAAAATTCAATTTGAGCCGATTTAAATTTCGTACTTTAATCAATTCAAATTTTAAAATGTAAAAAATAAATTTTAATTAACTCGAATTTTAATAAGTAAAAAATAAATTTTGATCAGTTCAAATCTAATTTTAATCAGCCCAAATTTTAATACAAAAAAAAAATTCAAAAAATAGAAGGGATTTCATTGAAAATATATCTATTTAAAGGGGGTGTGGATGAAGTATTTAATTTTAATACATAAAAAAATTCAAAAAATAGAGGGAGTTTCACTAAAGATATGCCTATTTAGAAGGAGTGTGGATGAAATATTTCTTAAAATATATAATATACAATTTAGTAGGATTACATTCTAATTAACGTCGTTAATTTGACAAGGGGTGTCAGTTATGTGTCAAATAATAGATGGGGGTTTTAATTGAAAATATGTTTATTTAGGGAAGATGTTAATAATAATTACCCTAAGTAATTTTACGAAATGAAAATTTTCTCCAAAATAAATGATTGCTAGCAAGAAATTTCCTTGTGTTAGTTATTGGCCTAACGCAGTTTTGATAACATGAAAAAAAAAAGCATACAAATCAAATCTAATTGGCTATTAGTAAAGAGGCTCTTAAAGGAGATGTTAGTAATTATCACACCAATTTTTATTGAGTCAAGTCAAAAAGAAGAGAGGAAAATGATTTGCATTTTCTCTGTTATATATATATATATATATATATATATTTAAATATTTTTCTTGACAAATTATTGAAAAAAGGACACAAATCTCCATTGAATTTCGATAAGTAATCTGGTAAAAAAATAATTTTAAAAAAATTATATTATAAAAGATGCTTTCTATGTTGATTTGATTTTAGATGAGGGAAAATATAAATGATATGACAGAAATAGTTACGTGGTTGGTTGTGAAAGGATTAGCATGATATAAATTGTAAGGGTGGTTGTGTGCATTATAAAACAAACACGTGTCCGAGTGAGAAAGTCTAGAGACACGTTCACGGTCTACCGTTTCACACGTGTTCAGTCCCTAGGTGTCACACACCACCCTGTACCAGTTAACAATAACCATTAAAATGTAGTATTATTTTTTACTATCCCACCTCTCAATATCCCTTTTATCATGCAAACAAACAAACATGCCCTTGCAACCGGTTGTATCCCACTTGCATGCTCACAGGTTGGAGGACAATTACCTGCAACTCTAATAAATACGTAATCGGGGGAAATATTAGTCTTAAATGTAACGTGATCTTACATTTATGTGTACCTTTTATTTCGGTCTTATCTAATCCCTCGGGATAATTTGTATCATAAGACCTTGATTTTAAAAATGATATTGGTGATTATTGAATGAATTTTATCAAAATATATATTAAAAATATTTCTTAAATTCGAACTCATAGCTCCAAGGCCACATTTTCTCATGTCCTATTGATTTTGTAACCATCCAATTATTTTTATAATAGGAACATATTCAAAAGAGAATGAATGTTCAAATCATGAGCTTTTTTTAGTGTCGATTTAATACTACTACTACTACTACTACTACGTAATAATCAAACGTATCAAATATAAAAATAATTAGTTATTGGTATAAATCCAAAATAACAATGAGTATTTGATATCACTTGTGCTAAGTAGGGTATTTGGATTTTAGAGCATGTAGATCCAAAAAAAAAAAGATCTTGTTTTAATTTTCTTCTGTTTCGATCAATGTCATCACCAAACAATTGTTTATTACTTTTCGTTATCCAATTCCATCCTTATTAATTTTAAACAATTAAAAGAGATGTAGACTGTGTTTAAGTTTTTTTTTTTTTTCATTGTTTATTGAAAGTAGGNTACTATCCCACCTCTCAATATCCCTTTTATCATGCAAACAAACAAACAAACAAACATGCCCTTGCAACCGGTTGTATCCCACTTGCATGCTCACAGGTTGGAGGACAATTACCTGCAACTCTAATAAATACGTAATCGGGGGAAATATTAGTCTTAAATGTAACGTGATCTTACATTTATGTGTACCTTTTATTTCGGTCTTATCTAATCCCTCGGGATAATTTGTATCATAAGACCTTGATTTTAAAAATGATATTGGTGATTATTGAATGAATTTTATCAAAATATATATTAAAAATATTTCTTAAATTCGAACTCATAGCTCCAAGGCCACATTTTCTCATGTCCTATTGATTTTGTAACCATCCAATTATTTTTATAATAGGAACATATTCAAAAGAGAATGAATGTTCAAATCATGAGCTTTTTTTAGTGTCGATTTAATACTACTACTACTACTACTACTACGTAATAATCAAACGTATCAAATATAAAAATAATTAGTTATTGGTATAAATCCAAAATAACAATGAGTATTTGATATCACTTGTGCTAAGTAGGGTATTTGGATTTTAGAGCATGTAGATCCAAAAAAAAAAAGATCTTGTTTTAATTTTCTTCTGTTTCGATCAATGTCATCACCAAACAATTGTTTATTACTTTTCGTTATCCAATTCCATCCTTATTAATTTTAAACAATTAAAAGAGATGTAGACTGTGTTTAAGTTTTTTTTTTTTTTCATTGTTTATTGAAAGTAGGTATTATTCTAGTATTGGAATTCATAACCTGACAGTAGTTAGCCTGACACTTCTATCTCTACATCCGGAAATGACACTTAGCTTGGATTACTCATCAAAATGTTTGTTATGAAAGCAATGTGATTATTAAGTTTATTCATCTGAAAAACACTGCAATTCCATTTTCCACGTCTTACCTATATTTTATGGGTTGGCCCATATTTATCCCCTAAATCTCTTTTTTCTATCCCATTTAATTATTTTACTTTAAACTATTAAGTTCAATATATCTATATTTACTTTATTAATGACTAAGTTCACCTCATTTATACCTATCTAATTAAATTATTAAATATATATTTTAAACTGAAACAAAATTTCAATGTTTTGAAGTGATCTAGAATATTTTGATATGTTTTAAGCTAGGAAGCACGGATACAGATACGTGACACGGGTACGATACGATACGGATACGGCGATACGACAAAATTTAAAAAAATAAGATACGGGTACGGCCAGGATACGTCTATAATAAAATATATTTTATATTTTATTATTATTTAACGACTTAGAAATTATAATTTTTCAATAATTCTTTAACATTAGTAAGTAAAATTAGAAATTTTTACCATGAAAAGGTTATAATATCATCTCATTATGATTTGTTCATAAAATGAGCATGACAAATTAAAGGAATTATAATAACATTTAACTAATTGGTTTTACAAGTATTTATTTTTAAAAGTATTGTGTAAGTGATTCATTTTTTTTATACTCTCTTAACATATAATAATAGATAATACTTAAAATACACTCATGTTTTTAAAATCATATGGAATTTTGTTGATGTTTTATATTGTATGTGAACTTCAAAGAAGGGTTATAGTTTAAAATTGAAAATTGTACAATTTACACGATGTTTAGAAGTATCCGCGAAGTATTCACATATTTTATTAATTATCGGATACGGATGATGTGTATCCGATACGTATCATCGAGTATCCGTCGAGTATCGTATCCGATATACGATACGATATCGGATACGGGTACGTCGATCTTGACAAAGTATCCGTGCTTCATAGGTTTTAAGATATTTTGACTAATATTTTTAAAAAAAATTATTAATTTTTTTTATTATATTTCTAAAATATTTTCATATAAAAATAATATATCGAAATAAAATTTTGATCATTGCGTATATAATAGGTTAAAATAAAATTGAGATTATAATTAGAAAAAAATAATGAATGTCGAACGAAGACTTAGAAAGAAAATCATAATAATCCATAGAATATGAGATAGATAGACAGACGAGGTAAGTTCGAACATTTCTAGAAGCTGAAATGTCTAATAATCGTGTGAACATCCCGGTAGACTAGTTATCTAACACGTGTGACGTTAGCACATCTTACGTATGAACCAAGAAAAGAACTTTATCCAATGGAGTATTCGAATCTTCTTCTTTTTTCTTCCAATTCACCGATTTTTAGTAGGTGCTCCCACGGGCCACCAACACAACAACGCTACACCTCCCCCTCAGCCGATTAAAACCCCTCAATCAAACCGCGTATGCCTCTCTCTCTCATTCATTTTATCTCTGTTTAACTTTCGTTTTCGCTAACTTTTCCCTCACCCAATCACACCTATATAGTCTGAAACAAACCCCCACACTTTCGGTAATTTCCACCAACTCTTCCTCTTCCCCTCTCTCTAAAATATCATAACCCCATATTCCGTTGCAGAGCACCACAAAAACTGTACAAACAGCCCCCTCTTTCTTTTCAACCAAAATCAGAAGCCAAACAAGTTTCAGAGGAAATTTTAAACATGTTTACCTCAACCTCGAAAATGCAGTGTTCCAGTAGTCCTGTCCTCTCGCTCTCGCTCTCGCCCAGCTTCAACAGCTGTTCTTCGAACAAACTCGCTGAAATCGCAGCCAGAGTTGTCGAAGAGTTCAAAGCAGAATCAGAGTCAGAACTCGACCATGAATTCGACTTCAAAGACGAAGAAACAGGAAATGATACAGTTGTGGAAGAAAAGAACCCACAATTTGAAGAAGAAGTGGAAGAAGAGAAGAACAACGATGAGGATAAGAATGAAGAAGATGAGGATGATGATGAGTTTGAGTTTGCTTTTGTTTCCAGAGAGGCTGATTCGTCACCGATTTCAGCGGATGACATCTTCTACAACGGTCAGATTCGACCTATGTTTCCGGTTTTCAACCGAGATTTGTTGTTAGGTGACCTTGAAATTGAGAGTTACGAGCCTTCCAAGCCTCCGATCCCGACTCGGCTCTCGTTGAGGAAACTGCTGAGCGAAGAGCGCTATCCTTCGTCTTGTTCTTCGTCGGAGGCCGACGAACTCGACGGAGTCCAGCCGGGAACTTACTGCGTCTGGACTCCGAAAGCGGCGACGGCGGAAAAGTCGCCGGAATGGCATAAGAAGAGCAATTCGACTGGCTCGTCGAAACGGTGGAAGTTTCGAGACCTGATTCACAGGAGCAACAGCGACGGCAAGGACGCGTACGTCTTTTTAACTCCTACAAAAGCCAATTCGAAGAAAAAAGACGAAAAAAATGAGAAATTCACCACCGGAAAAGTGAAGGACTGCGGCGAAGGTATGACGGCGGCGCAGTATGCGAAGAACAACAGAATGATGAAGGAAGGTGAGAGAAGACGATCATTTTTGCCTTACAGGCAAGATTTGGTTGGGTTCTTCGCTAACGTGAACGGGTTGAGCCGGAATCTTCATCCTTTTTGAAAAGCTGAGTTGGTGATTAGATTTTTAGGGTTTTAAATTTTAATTATGAAAAAAAGACTATTGGTATTAGAAAAAATAGAGAGTTTTGGGGAATATGTTTGTAATTATGCTTCCAATATTAGTTATAGTTTTGAGTTTTTCTGTCCAGAAATGGACTGCTAGGCTTCCAGCCTTCTAATTTTGGTATTTTACATATTTATATTTATTTTGGCATATAGTGATGTATTTAACTTATTTTTTAAAGGGTAGAAAGAGATAAAAATAACTTTGCCACATAGAGAGAATCAAGAATCGAATCGAGAGTCGAATCATCTTTGTTTGTAATATTGGATGGATAATTTGTCAATTATTATGGGCGCTTGGTGTGCATAATTTACGAATTTGCATAATTAGGAAAGAGTGAGATATGGATGCAAAGAGATAGTTAACTATATTTGTATATTATGTACCTTTCTCCTCCATTAATGGGGATCATATGGAAAGATAAGAATCACATCTTTATCCCAATGATACACTAGTGAAGAATTGGATAATCAAGTTCGAATTTCTCTATCCCTAAACCATAGGGATAGAGAGAGAGCGATGACCCTTTTAATCTTAAGGTATATTTTAAGTAATAATAAGGACGAGTTATAAATATAGATGTATCAAGTTTAATTTTTGGCAATATCTTGAAGTTAAGTTATAAAAAATTTATTTTTCATGAATATTCTAACCTCGGCTTGGATGATTTATCTTTGATTGAGCTGAAGAGAGAATCAGTCGAGGTGCGAGTAAGATAGTGCAAATACTCATGAGCATTGAACTAAAAAAAAAAAATGAGAAAGCGATAAACCTTTTAAACTTTTGGTTAAAGATTTTTAACTCTTCAATTTGCTAATGTATTGTTTGGAAAATATTTGTATTTTAGCAAAAGATTTAGAGTCACAAGTTGAGATTATTAATTAAAGTATTAGGAGCCAAATTATTTTAATTAGAAAATGACGTAATTGCTTATCTCCAGACTCCTATTTTTTGCCAGCCCTAATAAGTCAATAAATAAATCACCAACAACATAATATCTGAATTGATTCTTTAGGTTGCTTAGTTTGGTGGGGATATGCAAGTTGCTTTACAGATGTTATGAAAACGACTTGTCAGCCCTAATTGACAATCTTGTACAGTTTAACTTCTTTCAAACTATTAAGAAAAAAAAAAATTAAAAAAAAAAAACAACCTAAGTTCCTCCATGCTGATATTTCTTGGGGTCTATGGAACCATGATTCCCCTTAGGACTCAAAAAATTAAAATTTAAGCCCTTCAATTTTCATGAAATTTTTTATCCAACCCTCTATAAAGTGTCAGTTATTTTTCAATAAAAAACTTTTGTTTGGCTCTCCTACTTTAGAAGAGTTAGTTAATTTTCAATATTGCACACTGATGTTGAGTTTGTACCCGTCAAGTTTAGTAGATGGGGGAAAATACAGCTAATTTGCCGTTTTTTAATGAAAAGTATGGTCTGTTTAATATTATTATATTTTTTTTTAGTTTAACGGTCAGAAATGTCTGAACCAACTTACATAATCTCAAAATTAAGTATTATTATCACTATATATTTATTTAGAATGTTTTGCAAGGAAAAAAAAAAAGAAAAAGGAATGATAAAACTTGACGTGAGGATATAGCAATATAAGAAAAAGACTGTGGTTTACTTTGTATTTTCTAGAAATCCAGTTGTCAATTTTTATTCACAAGCAAGTTGTCCTTATCCTCTAATGGCAACTTCACATCACCCCTACTTTTCTCAATACCACATGATACTTCAAAAGAAATCTTTGAGGAAACAAGTTAGATATAGAAAGTGGGTTAGTATCCATCATAAATAAATTTATTTTATATAATAAATTTAGTAACTCATGGAAGATACAGAAACAAGGAAGCCAAGCCAATGTACACCCCCAAATCAACAAGCAAAGATAGGTGAACTACGAAACTTGCTAATCACCTGATATGATGGGTGTGACTTTTGAAAGACGCCCACTTAACTGTCTTCATCGGAAAGGTTAAGGTACTGTACCCAGACCGAAGATTTTTAATAGCTATAATTAATTATAAAAAAATTTATGATCTATCATGAATGTTTGTGATCGATCATAATCTTTTTTTTAATAATTGTAATTCTTTTTTTGCTTAATTAAAAATCAATTGACCATATTGAAAGTATTTTTTTTGTTATTATGCACCAAAATATATTATAAAATACAAATTTTAAAGGGTCAAGTTATAATTTTTGGACAATATCGATCTCAGATGACTCAAATAATTATAACTACTTCTAAAAAATTATAACTTAATTCTAAAAATTGTATTTTCTTGAGATGAATCTTACAATGTTAGGGATAGGTCGATTCTCATTGTTTTTAGCTATAACTTGGACCCAATGCAGACCTACCACTGTCTACTGTTTTGTTACTTGGAGCTTTGTTAGTCCCACTACTCCAGGCTGATCATGGCCGCCTTCTCATATTTTACTAAGCACACTGCCTTTGACCGGTAGTACTGCTTTAAGATTCCAAAACTGTTTCATTGCTTAGACAGATGTTCAGTTCAACCCCCTACATAACATACCTCGGTCAACTTCCACAGGTAGTCGAACGGTGTAGTGTTGAATTTGAACAAATCTTAGATTCAAAATTTAATGGTTTTTTTGCTTTTGTTTATAAGGTATTTAGATTTGTATCGATTACTCTCTTTAACCTTGAATTAATCACGGCAATTTTAATTAGTTTAAAGATATATCCCCTGAAGAATAAATATAATTGACTTTTAAGGGGTGTGAAAAGTATCGAACCTGAAATTTCTTATTCGTAAGAGAGTAAACTTGATCATTGAACCACCTTTCACTAATCTCTCTCAAGTTTAATTGATACTTATAGTTTGTGAGTGATTAATAGTTAAATTGATAAAGTTATTTTTACCCTTTGAAACCTAACGTAAATGTGAAGGTAAATGAAGGACAATAGACTCTTGAACATGTAGGTACAAATTTCCGGGTCATTTAATTGGTAGGGCCAAAAATTTAGGCCGAAGTTGGAACAATGAAGACAATAATGGCAACTGGTAAAAGGAAAAGTTGGTGTGTTGAGAAGATGGCAGGATTGTATAGAGAGCCACATTCTGTGTCCTTTTTCTCCTTTTCTAGATGCCAATTGGTCCTAGTCTTGGTCTTTGTAGTTTCATTTTCTCCATGCCAGTCCCACAGAATTAGCTTTCCACTACGCCATGGAAAATCTCTCTCTCTCTCTAGCGCCTTTGCGGGTGAGACCGGCCCGATTCGGCAGTCATCACGTCACGTCCTGTCCGATGAGGAGGACCGAGCCTAATCATCTAAAAAAATGGAAACCCACAATTTGGCCATTAATTGGGATCGAAGCGAGTTTAGTTTGGTTTGGTTTGTTTTAATCAAGCTTTTTTGTTAATAAAATTAATAATATAATTTTTTATTTTGATGCTTGATGGGTTGGGCCACCGTCACAGGTCTTAAATTGGTCAATTCATCAATCTAAGATGGGGTAAAAATGCAGCCCGTGGGCCAACCAACCGGGTTAACAAACAACTCACTGGCCTCCTCGTGGTGAGTCGGGGCTGCGGACCGTTTACTGATCCTTGCTTTTTTTTTTTTTTTTTTTTTTTTTTTTTTTTTTTTTTTTTTTTT